GTCATGCTCGACTCGGGTGCTCTTCAACCTACATGCAGCATCACGGAGGCCGCTCAGGCACTAAACACTACAAATTGCTGGGTCAAAATTGACCCAGTTTGTGGCAGCATAGAACTGGATTAACTGTACCCAGCACCCATGGGCGGTTTTGACCCAGTGCGAGACACAATAAGCCCAAGCTCAAAACTGTCTTGTTAGTTAGACATTCAAAACGGCAAAAGGTACATACAGTCTAATATTAACAGTCAGTAAGAAATAGAGCCATGTATGCAGTGGTGAAGGAAGTAAAAGTAGTAATACTGCATTATAAACATACTCCTATCAAATTAAAGTCATGCGTTCAAAATATCACTAAAGTATAAGTTTGTATAAACCAAACCATTTGTACTGAAGTGCAGTGCTTGAGTAAATATAAATGAGGAATAATAGAAGTAACACTCACTAACAGTATAGTTAACAGTTTCCTTCCTTCCCTGTCTTCCTCCACATGTCAGTGTGTGATGAAGTGTGTGTCGGAATGCGTGTGTGTGTGTCTGTGTGTCCACATTTTTGTGTGTCACTGCCTCAGATGTGGTCAAATCAAATGACTTTATAGCCACATCATTAGAAAACAAACAAAAATTTGCAGACATAAATTTCCATTTCTCTTTGATGCATCACTGCACATGCATAGACTCTGAATCTGTTACGTGCATTTCCCAAACTCAAACTTCAAATGTGTTGCGGGGAAATGTACTGTTAAGTAACTGTTTCATTGCAGTGGAATGAATCAAATCTGGTGCTTAATACACAAAATGGTAAAATAGCAATATTCACTTTCTCAAGGAAGTTGAAATAGAGAAATCCTTCTCCATCTCTGATTTAACAGCTACTTCAGTAGTTAATCCTTCATCAATAAAGACATTTCTTTATCTTCTTAAGCAAAGACAGTCATTTTTTTTTTTATTTTTTATAGTTTCACCATTTGAAGATGTCCTTTACAGGTTTCTCTAATTTATTTCTTCAACTTTTCACAGACAGCCTTAACTTTTCTGAGAGTGTACCTGTCAGATTTACACACCAACCCGGCTGGAGTCTCGCTCCTGGACTTGACTGCTGGGTCACAAGTGCTTTAATATGAAGTGAGCCCTTGAGGCATAGAATGAGATCTTCTCTCACTCTCCCTGGCTGTCCCTGCATATGGGGAGGTGTGTGTGTGTGTGTGTGTGTGTGTGTGTGTGTGTGTGTGTGTGTGTGTGTGTGTGTGTGTGTGAGAGACAGTGTTAAAACAGCTTGTTAACACATACACCACTGCCTTGGCCAGGACTCCCTAATTATTCCCCTCCAACTAAAGGCCAAGACAAGGAGAGAGTAGTGATAAAGTGTGTGTGTGTGCGTGTGCATGTGCGTGTGCGTATGTGTGTAGTTGTGTGCCGCAGAGCAGCTGTGACAGTAAACATGTTTATGAGTGGCTAATAGAAAGCAGGTGGTGATTGGCTGTGATCCTCCCAGCAATCGGTGTATATGCAGAGACTAATGCAGATGCCACTGTCTGCAGCAAGGCCACACAAACACATACACACACACACACAGACACACTCATTCACTAACTCACTCTCACACACACTAACACATGTTGTTCACAGGTACTGTACTGCCGCAGATGAAAAGAGGCTTTGTGTGGATGCACTCAGACATTTATTATTGTAATACACCCAGCCCTGAGATAGCAGTGGTGTTTGTGAGCCACAGTCTGCTGTCTTTGCATAACCACAGAGGCGACGGTGGTGTGTTATGTGTGTGTGTGTGTGTGTGTGTGTGTGTGTGTGTGTGTGTGTGTGTTTGTTTGTGTGTGTGTGTGGTTGTTTACATGAGTGTGTATGCAGCCTTCCCACTTTGTCTTTATTTGTAAACATGCACACACATATGTGTACCAAAGTGGGTGTGGGCACATATGAGTGTGTTTGTGAATGTTTGGATAATTTGGTCTGTGCACTGGATTCCTGCTCTGGGTCTGTTTATTTGTATGTGTATGTGTATATGTGTGTGTGTGTGTGTGTGTGTGTATGTGTGTGTGTGTGTGTGTGTGTGTGTGTGTATGTGTTTGAGGCCTCTCTTTTGGTTTGATTCTCAAGGCATTGTGGGTATTATGTGGGGGTTGTTTGTAAACATCAACAGCAGTAAGTTTTATTTTATTGTAGCTTTATTTTACGACATTATTCCCAGATGGCTGCTAAAGCTCGCAGTTTTATAATGCATCTACCACACATTCTGCACTCCCGCGCCTCACTCTCGCCGCCACACATATGCTTTTGCTCTCATATGCAAACAAACAACACAGTCTGCGGAACTGATTTGCTCAGGAATGAGCAGTGAAGAAGAATCTTTTTTTCCCCACGCATACACGCAGGGCAGACTCACCTCTTTTTTTTTTTTTTTTTTTTTATCAATCTAAAATCCGGCATTGAACAGATCAGATTGAGTTATTCAAGTTAGTGGCAAGAGCTTTTTTTTCCTCATTTTTACCAGCTCTGTGACACTGTGGGTGAGCACTCCCATATTTCTCTTTAATTAAGCCAGGGAAAACCTTGTAGTACAGCCAACCCAGCTCATGTAGCCACTTATGTTTTAATTTAATTACCTGTCCACTTTGATAATTATTCCCCCTGATTAACAGGGAGAGAAGGTTCCTAAATGGGAATAGGAGATGGGTGAGAGGGCCAAACAGCATTTCTCCTCCTTTCGGTGAGAACAAGAATGAGGGTGTTGACTTAAGATGTCCAGGCCAGCTCTATTTTAATCCGGTTTCATACTTGGCCTGCTTCAGCCTGGCCTGGCTTGGCTGTATTCAGGCCGTGCAGAACACAGAGTCCTACTCAGTTTCCTGTGCTCTGTTTAATCTTGTGATTTTTATGCACCCGCGAGCCAAAACAGACAAACAACAACAAACAAATCATGATTCTGCAAACAGGCGGGGGTGATTGATATCTTTAGTCAAAATGCCAACAGTTACACAACAACAGGCACAAGGATGAGTCAGTCTCTGCTCTCTCACACATTTTCAGTTATTGGATGCAGGTTGTTTGTGGTTAAGTAACCACTAACACACCTGCTGGGATTCAGTTATAAACTTTCTATTAATAATACTGTCAGATTTTTTATTTTTTTTTGTTTGATCAAACTTGAAAGTGCATTTTCATGATAGGAGCCACTTAGGAAAAGCATCACTCATCACCATCCAGTTGCTCACATTAGCACCTGTCAGTTCTCTGGAGATTTATTGGACACATATAACAAAGTGTTCCAGGTAAAATTCGTCAGGCTCAGACGAGACATGAGTAAGTAAAAAAAAAAAAATATGTATAAGGGTGCTCATATACACAAACACACACCCAAACATTTGCACCCACACGCGCACTCACATAGACACACATATTTTTAGTGGTATTGATCGTGCTAATGATTTGTGTTGTGATTTACTGCAGTCGTGGCCCATTGTTGGGTGGTGCTGTGATGGACTGCCATCATTTTCCAATGGTAAAAGCTTCGATAGTGAAAAGGCAGGAGGGCAGAATCCCATTTAATGGCCAAAGCAAAAATTATTCCAAGATCTTCTTAAGAATTATGGCACTCTTTTTTTCCCTCACTTTTTTTTTTTTTTTTTTGCAGCGACAGGTATGATGTAATTTCCAAATTTCATCAGAGACAGTAATCTCAACACTGATTATGCCATCAATTAGTAAATTAATGTGGCTGTGAGGAGAAAAAAAAGATGGTAATAACTCTGCAAAACGAGTTGTCAAGCTTCCAAAATACATAAAGGACATAGTGAGTTAGGCAGACAGTAAAATTTATCCAATTTGCAAGGTAAGTGTGTAACGAGAGTGAACCCAATTAAACTGATTTTACACTTATTTTTTATTTGTGGAGCACAACATTTCTGAGGTTGACATAAATCAATATGGATTACCATGCAGTATTTAAAAAAATAAAGTTATATCACAATAAGGTCTGTCAAGAGCACAAAAAGTACCAATTAAGAAATGAAGTCATTTATTTTGGTGCATACTTGCAAACTGATGTCTTGTGCAAAGAATAGAGGTCTTTTTTTAAATTCTGTTTTTATTTACTAATAAGTCTAAAAGTATTAACGAAAAGGGTAGAGGAGCCAAGTGTTTCTCAGTAGACTGGTTGTGTTTGGGTGATGGTGCTTTGTTTCTGACTGTTTCTGAGCTCAAACTCAGTGCAGGCTAACATCTGTTCCTCTCTGCCTCCACAATAGCACAACTCAGCCGGGATGCAAAGAGAGGTCAAAAGATCAGTGCCTTCCCCTCATACACACACACACACACACTGAGAGAGGTAGAGAGAGAGCAAGAGAGAGAGGGAGAGAGCGAGAGAGAGAGAGAGATACCTCTCGCCGGCTGCTGTTTTTCTATTGTGCGCCAGGGCTTTGCGAGGATAGGGCAGGGATGAAAACGCGCACCTGCTTTAGAGGCATTACGGTAGCGCAGCAAACTGTCCCCCCGCAACACACACACACACACACACACTCCACACTCGTACGCACACGCACAGCCCTAGTGATTCAACCCTGATTACCAGCGAACGAGCAAGCAACAGACGGGATGCCAAAAAGTGAGGACCGGTGGAGAGGTTATACGCGCTGAATAAGCCTCTTGAATAGATAGCGGGAGGAAGCAGACGCAACAAAACAAGACGAGAAGCTGCGCGCTTTCTCCGCGGCAACTTGCGCACAGTGCCAGAGTTTTAGCGGCAGTATTGTTCTGACTTCACTCCAGAGGGGCCACTCCGAGGAGAGAGGACGCACACAAAAGGGAAAAAGGAAAGGACTAACGAGCACGCTTTGTCGTCTAAAGTAATGGTCCTGCGGTCTTAGATCCTAGATTTCTCTGTCTCTCTCTCTCTCCTCTCTGTTTCTTTCCATTTTTTTTTTTTATTTTAATTTTTTCGTCCCGTCGGTTTGTGTCCCCTTTGTCGCCGTGAGAGAGTGGACGCGCCGGGGGTTTGAGGAGCAGAAGCGGGCTGTCCACATGGTCCAACCACTGGCGTGAAAGTTGACTTCTTCAGAAAACAAGAGAACAGGTTGATGCATTATCTACACTTTTCCTTTTTTCCCCCCTCTCTCTCTCTCTCTCTCTTTTTCATCTTCCTCACTCTTTCCCTCTCCCTGCGCTCCCATTGAAACTCTCTGCTGCTCACATCTCACTTCTCAAAAAAAAAAAAACATCGAACTCTCAACTTTCTCATCGCACATTGTTTTGTCAAACTCCTCTAACTCAGCCTAATAATATAATGGGGTGTTGTAGAGTATTACACAGCCGAGCAGCCACTTTTCCTCGCTCTGACTTCCCTCTCCCCACGTTTCAGTTTGAACTTTCGGTCTTTTTGTGAAGAGTTGAACGCGAAACTTATCAGCCACGTTTTAAAATCCTCTTTGAAGTGTAGCTGTTTTCATCTTTTCCACTTTTTCAATAGACAGAAAATCGACGGTGGATTAAGTTTCTCTCGAGCTCTTCGCCACTTCAACACGTTGAACACCCATGAGTCAAAAAATCCAGTTACTTTGAATCCACGTATATTTCTAAATTTATTTCAACTCTTATAATTTATCAAAGCGTTAGTTGCGTGGAGGGAGAGGGGCCAGTGCTCACAGAAAAGTGTCATTGTCTTCGCTTCATGACACGACTAAAAGTTTAGTCTCACAGGTTGGGACTGTGAACTAAGATGTCGGGAGTGGATCTGAATGGAGGCAACAAACTTTAACATCGCGTCCCTCTTGTTAAGGGATTTGATAATAAACACCGACACAGGTTATGTGCTGATAATTTTACACAGCCGCCTGAGAATCGTTTGAATGCTTTGTCATCGCTTTATAAACCTGTTCAGCTCACAGCCGTAAAACACTCCCCTGCATTTAAAAAAAAACAAAAAAAAAACATTTTTTGAATAGTTGAATTTTGTGTCTGACATTTAAACAATGACGCTCAAAATTATAAAAGAGCATTAGAGCCCTCAGTGAAGAGAAAAGACTCGTTGTTTTAGGAAAAGGAAGGGAGAAAAAAAAGAAGCTTTCATGTGGACACAGTGAGTTGGTCAGGAGATGAGAGTTTTCTTTTCAAACGCTTTTGACTTTTGAAATTACGACCGCGGTGTGTGACCTCACTGTGGCTGTTGTCTTTCCCATACGATCTGACCCGATTAAATAAATAGCAGTAATATATACAGATGACCAGGTTAACACACCGACATTAGAGAAAGTTGCTCCTGCAACAGTAAAAGTTTGGACTCCGGATTTAACGTGAATATTAAACGTATTAAATCTGCAGTTTTTATAAGAGCATTGTAGCACGTCTGAAGTCTTATTCTTCTAATTCTTGAATTAGACTAATTGCATGAAAAAAAAAATACACGGATAATCCACGTGATAATAAAATATTAAATATATTTAAACATATTTAGAGTTGACTTGATATAAATTTAGAAATTGAGGGGGTTGAAGTCTGTAGCAGAACCTCTGCATGACCCATGTTTTTCCCTTCTTTTCCTCGTCATGAGAGCAGGCCCACACCACAGAGGAATTTTTTTTTACTTGAGAGTAAAAGAAAAAACTTCCTACCGGACCTGTATATATTTAAAAAAAGAACATTTCATAATGGGATTAAACAGTTTTAATTCTCTTCGCGTAACAGCATGTAACACACACTGTGTGACACTGTAGCATCAGCTGAGGTGTTTTAAAATTGAACTTGTTCTTTTCTTTTCACAAAACTCCCATAATCAAGTATCAAACACCAACCTCAACATCCCCGCATGTCAGATGGACTCAGGTCCAGCATGATGGAAAGATGCAGACAAAAAAAAAAGAGGGAGCGATGAAATGACAATTAATTGCTGTTAGTTGTCTGTCATTGAGAGAAAAGCATACAGGGCCGTGTGGGTGCACACCCTGACACGGGCATTATTGCCCCGTGATTGATGGGCGCCGGGGCATTTGGCATAATGAATTTTATTTACTGTGTCCTCTCTCTCTCTCTCTCTCTCTCTCTCTCTCTCTCTCTCTCTCCTTTTGTGTGTATGTGTGTGTGTCCCCCCACCCCCCCCCCCCCCCCCCCCCCCCCC